GTGCGATGGTTGTACCCTCCCACTGCAGCGAGCTTCCAGGTGGGGGATAAGATCATCGCACTATGATTCTACCCCCATCTTCCTTATTCGCAGGCAAATGTAGCGGACTATACTTTATTGGCAGAGCGACCGGGGGGTATAACCATCGCACTATGATTTTACTCCCCATACATAGAGGATCCTATGGGGGTAAGATCATTGTGCGATGATTTTACCCCCCCACTCCTATAAAAAAAAATAAGATCATCGTGCAATGATCTTACCGGGGGGTAAAATCATTGCACGATGATCTTACCCGGGGGGTAGAGGGTACATCTATCGTCTGACAGCGGCGCGCGCTGCAGGCGCGGGGTAGGCAACAGCGCGGTTAGCGCGCAGCCGTGCGCTGCGGGTCTGCCTATACGCAGGCGCTCCGCCCCGCCTGGCGGTGGCCGGCGCGCGGTGGCGGCGCGGTCTGCCTCGTGGTCCTCCCACCGCCGCCGCCGCGTGTCGTATTCACTGATTCTATAGACTTTTCAGAGTGCTTTGCTTTGGTCTTTTCCGCCCGCCGCTTGCTCCGCTCCGCCAATAATATGTCGTGTGGTGTCGATGCCACGTGCGGAGGGCTGTGGGCCGTGGGCCGGGGCCTGCGCCCGGCAGTGAGCCTGACCTGATCACCCCCCGACCTCATATCATCGCTTTCACTCTCCACAACATGGCCCTGTTCCTTCCTCTTCCCCACCTTCCCTTTTGCCTCGTAGTACCATCCCCTTCGCTCTCCGATGTTTTACCCCTCCTTTCTTTTCCTCTTCGATTTCCCTTTCATCCTTCCTCCTCCCCCCCCCTCTCTTCCCCATCTCAATCAATAACCTCTCGCCTATGGTACTCCTAATTCCCCATAAACTCTCCCTAACTTCCAACTTCCCATCCCCTCTCCCTCTTTTCTAGCTTCCTATCCTATCTCCCTCACTTCCCACTTCCAACTTCCTATCCACTCTTCCTCACTTCCCATCCACTCTCCCTCACCCCCCCCCCCCTTTACTTCCCATCCCCTCTCCGTCACTTCCCTCTTCCTACTCCCCATCACTCTTCCTCACTTCCCATCCCCTCTCCCCTCACTTCCCTCTTCCCACTTCCCATCACTCTCCCTCATTTTCCATCCACTCTTCCTCACTTCCCACTTCCCATCCACCGTGCCCCACTTCCCGCCCCTCGCCTGTGATCTCAGCCGCCCAGCGCGTGATGCAAGGCTCGCGCGATAATGCCCGCCGGTTATCAGCTCTCTCGAGTGTATGATGGTGTCATCGTGCTCAAGCTAAAAATATGTCCTTAAAAGCCTCTGCCCCGCCCCCTACCCCTTCTCCTCCACCCTCGGCGCCTCGGTCTGCAGCAGCCGCGCCAATTTTCGCCCAGTGCCATGCGCGGGATGGAAAAGTACCAAACGGCACAGCATAGCTCGCGGAAATGGGCAGTGAGTTGCAAAAATGTAGTCAAAGTGCAGGAGATGAATGCACTGACATCTCATTGTGAACTGCTGTCGCACACTTGCAAGTGTTGTTTGACAGTAACCCGTGTATGTCTTTATCTATGGGCGGGTGCGGGCAGGTGTCCCGCTCCATAATAAGAGGGCATATTGGTAATCTTTTGAGTCCGACAATGGGCGTTCATCGCTAGAAATATACACTCTATTCTGCTCAGTAATGGTGCAACGTGGCGTAATTTAAACGTCCTCAAGTGCTGGCCGGGTCCAAACACTTGAGAGGTGGAAGCGGCCGCGTGGAGCTGGACGGGGCGGCGGGTCCTCTCTGCACACGGCGCGCGCCGGCCGCGCCGTCGCCGTGGTCGTTGGGCGAGGCGACGATGACTTGCACATTCGGAGACGTGTGGAAGATGGGGCCGGTTTGCTTGCCGAGCTCATCAAGCAGGCCGTGTGCAGCTTCTCAGCCAGGGAAATATTTAACAGCCGTTGTAACTCAGAGTTATGAACTCAGTCCAATTGAACGCGCGCGCGGGCCACCCGCCCCGCGCCTCTGCTGCTTGCTGCCGCCCGCCGACTGTACCCGGCCCGAGGCCCGGACAAGCCAATATGGCACGGCGGCGGGCTCATGGAAAATGTGCGCAGCGAGCACTTTCCGCTCGAAAAGTAAATCGCAACAGAAGAGAACATGTTTGAAAAAATAAAACAAATAGAAATAAAACAAAGATCGTAGATTGATGGAAAAAGGGGAAAGGTCGTGTTGTTTTGTAGGCACGGGCCGATACGCTATCAGTGCGAGTGTGCATTACTTTCTCTCGCGTGATGGAGCAGATGCTACTGCTACACAGTTACATAAGTTGTTACATGTTCCATTCACACGTTTCATATTGTTCTCTTTGTAGCGTTTCGGTCAAACGGAATGAAACCGTCATTACATGTTGCTGCAGCGTGGGGGGTCTTCGAACTTTCGTTTTGTTAGTGTGTTGGTGTTTTATTTCTTCCTCGTCTGCAAAATTTCCACGCCTTTACTGATAAAGAGATCGCGTCGGCCTCATTTGGTCAACTTTTTGCCAATTAATTGGTAAAGATTGGCGACAAAGTGGCGACGGCGGCGAAGGGGCAGCCGGCTGCTTTGCGGGGTTATCACGATAAAAACTCGAGCGGGCGAAGAGACTCCGCGCTCCACTGATATCTGAAGTGTTCAACTTCCAAGCACATACTGTTGAACTCCGTATCCGAGCAGGTGTTGTTTAGCTGCAGATTTGAGCATTTGCAAGTGTGTGACAGAACAGTTGAAAACTTAAATTGTTTAAAACGAGTGCTGGATAGAGAATAAGTTGAACACTCGGAAGTGTTGAACTTCCCAGTCTAACACTTGCAAGTGCTCGCTAGGTGAACACTTATCTATCTAGATATCAGTGCAACAGGAGTGACTTCGCATCTTTGAAGGTCGTTTAAGTTTACATCAATAATTTCTCGGAAGAAATAAAAGATGTCCGCACAGTTTTGGGAAAAGAAGAAAAAAAGTGGTGGGGGCAGGAAGGAGGCCCCTCTCCGCGATAAACGACGTGTCGCGACGTGTCCGTGTGCCATTCTGCACATATATACTGTTCCTTGTTATCGCAACCTCACCGGGTTCTCCCGTTGCTGCTTGTCCATAAAAGAAGGCGCGTTGCCTTGTTATCAGGTTCAAGAGAGAACTCTTGCTTGCTGCAACTGGCGTATCTGATAGTCACCAAAGTGCGCCCCAAGTTGTGCAATAATTCTCTTTTCCGGCACCCCCCGTAAGCACCTTGGCCCCTTTAGCTCTTCCTGGCGTTTTTCACTTTAAAAAAAATTCAAGTACCGAAGCCTTTGGGTTTTCTAGAATTGTTCAACAACTTTCTGATGAAAGGCTGCCGTGGCGTGAATCACGCCGAGCTGAGCGGAGCTGAACCGCTGGCACCCAGCCAACCCCGCCGGTCTGCCGTGCATTTACATTCAGCTCCTCGGCCGCGCCTCCTCCATTCGGACCACGTGTGCTCTCTCTCTCTCTTTCTCTCACACTCCTCCTCCTCCTCTCTTCACAACCGAAAAACCTTATTCTCCAACTTCCATTATCTTAAATTTTTATTTCCTTCAGTTCTTTAAACTGCGTCGTCATCGCCATCTTGGTTTCTCCAGCCCAGAGCGCCCGGCAGATCCTAGCAGATCCTCTTACTGTAAAAATTTCTTGCCAAGCAATACTTTGCAAACGTCTTGCAAGTGGCGAGGCTCGTTTTTGATTGGAAATTTATTTACGGGAAATCCGATTATGGTGCTATCAAAAATTTAATCTGAGAGTTCTCTTATAATATTCTATACAAACTGGAACTCGCGCGGCGGCACCCTCTTGCATCAGTGCGCAGTTTTCAGTGGTGTTCTTTGAAATTATTTGCCCCTCCATATGTTTGCGGAGAGATGTGTGTCGCGCACATGTGTTTTACTCATTCATGCGTGCGCCCGGGCTGCTTGACATTCAGCCGCTCTCGTAGGTCAAACGCGACGGCGGCGCCGCCACCCGACACGCCCCGCTTGTGCGTCTTGTCCAGTGGGTGCTCTTTGCCGGTTCTCCGAATCCCAGCTTCCACGAACCCCCAGGACCCCCCCC